TACTTGAGTTTATAAGCGTTTTATTCTTAGCCCTAAAATGATTCTTAGCTCTAAAATAATGTCACTGTCACCCACTTACAGAAATGCTTGGTTATATGGGAGGGTAGAAGCAACAGGGCACCAGCTGCTGCACCTGGGGAGCTGTGTGCACCCGGCTCCAAACACACGAACCCTGTCTTCCCTCAGGCCATAGAAAGGGCTCCACGCGGGTGGATGCTGCTTGCCTGATACGTGGTTGCTGGGCAGCTGTGTGGCACTGAAGGTGAGCGAACCCAGGAAAAAGAGAGCTCCCTCCAGCAGGTGTTAGGATGGTTGTTTGGTTTACACAAGAATCGGAAATGAGTGAAAGTCACCATGCAGTAGTTCTGGTTAGATATAAAAAGGAATGGATGCTAAGGGTTTTGCATGCAGAGGGGACCACTTGTGCAAGAGAACAGGGGTGATTCCCTTGCTTGCCCACTCTTGAAGATGCTTTCTGGGAAGAGACACAGAGGCGGGATGCAAGCAGGCTATGCTGCAAACCACAGCGCCTTCCTGTGTTAACCTGCAGCCTCTGCTGTCAGGTCTGTGAGTGAGGAAACTTCAAAGGGATCAGGTATTTGCCCAGGAGGTATCTTTGTAGTAACCTCAGTTTTTCTTTTCCAACCCATCTCCTGTTAGTCTCAAATGTAACATAAACTGAATTCTGTGCTCAGGCAGAAAAAATGTGATGAGTTCATAGTCCTGCTGTCTCTGGGGAGGGAAGCCGGTCAGAACCATGGTGTTTACAGCTTTAGAAAGTCTGGCGAGGAGGAGGGAACAGAAGATTCCTATATCTTACAGCCCAAAACACACATAACAAAATCTTGGTGTTTTGCAAATACCTAATCAGATAGTCTAGAGTGGGGCTCTAAAGGCATTTTATGTCTGAAGATAGCAAAGCTCCTAACTTTTCCTCGAAATCCAGGAGGTGCTGTTTCAGCTGCATAACTGGAAATCAGGAAGTGAAAAATGTCAGGTTATATGTGAGCCAGCAGCTTTTTTGTTTCAGACCTTTTTCTGCCTCTCTGGACAGATAACTTTTTCCTTATAGCTCACTAATAGCTTCATCCTTGAGTTCAGACAGCAAAGTCATTGTGTGGTTGCAGTAATGGTCATACAACTCTGTGAAAGTACTGAGAGCCATTTAAATGTGCACTTTAAATGGATGAGTTGTGTGATATGGGAACTATCTCAATAATACTATTTTCTTAAAAATCGCTATGGATGGTATGCATGCTTGTATCAGCTCTCAGGAGGCTGTGGCAAAAAATCGTGAGTTAGAGGCCAGACTGGGCCAGATAGAAAGTTAAAGGCCAGCTTTGGTCTACAGAGCAAGACCCCCTCTCAATGTAATTGATATGAGAATATAGGTGTTTGGGGTATCTTGGTGGACTTATCCAAAAAAGCAAATGTGTTTCATGGTTTGCTCAGGAGTAGACATTTTTATGGTGTGGGCAGTGTGTGTTCTGCCCCTCTGTGCTGCTGTGGCCCATGGCCCCAGGGCAGGAGACCCCAACTTGCATCTGCTTGCCCTCTCCCCATCCACCCCATGCAAACCAGGCCTATGGGTTCTGCCACTGCCCGTCTATGTACTTCTGTGGTCCAGCTAAAATATTTCAAAAATCTACCCTTACGAAGCTATTCGAAGAAAGCTGTTTCATGAAAAAAATTCTCAGCCTTAGGAAAATTTGGTAATGGTAAATTGCTGCTCAAAAGTCCCTGTCAAATTAGACACAGGAGAAATGAGCCCCACATGAAAGGGGTGGGGGACCAAGAGTGCAGGTGGCTCTGGTCAGGGCACTTCGGGTCTGGCATGCGCCCTCCAGTACAGGCTAAGGCCACAGTGTGCCTGCTGACCTGAGAAAAGACTGTGGCCAGTGGGTCTTTGAGTTCCCCCTCCACACTGGAGGAAGACAGAGAGCTCTTTTCACAAGAAAGGTTCTTGCTCTCATAACCTTAATGAGTAACCTTTGTGCTGTAGCCTTGGAAAAGAGAGTTTCTACTATAGAATTTGTGAACAGTAACACAAATTGAAAAGTTTAGTAAAATATGAAGGACTTTAGTTTGACAGGAATGGGCTGAAGTTACAGTGTGTGTGTGTGTGTGTGTGTGTGTGTGTGTGAGAGAGAGAGAGAGAGAGAGATAGAGAGAGAGAAAGAGGGAGGGAGAAACAGAGAAAGAGACAGAGACAGAGAACAGAACTAAATTTACTTTTGTTTGATGCTTTAATACAACAAACACAGATTGACCTTTACAAAGAACCATGTCTTATGCTAAGTTATGGAAGTGTGAACACAAGGATGGCTCCCCTTTGTGTATTTAGTGTCTTTTTAAAAATGATAAGTTTTTACCATGTATAATACTATACATACAGTGCATTTTGTGGGGGTTGTGTAGGGGTGCTGAGACACTTCTTGATATGAAAGCACAAGTTCCTTCACATTCTTCTTACAGATACTCAGACTGAGTTATGTGTCTCCCCAAAGGAAGCAGCTGCTGTCCTGTGTAGGAGGTGACCACTTTGTGACTGTCTCTGTAGGTTCACCTCCCCTTGGCTTTGCACACAGCCATATCCAGACGTTGAGATGCAAACTTGGCCTCTCAGGCTCTCGCACCCACCCTGTTCTGCAGCCCAGCCCAAAAGCAGCGCTCAGCATGGGGCTGGGGTGGAGAATACCTGTGCTGTGTTCTCTCACATGCTCCCAGGTTCACAGACTGCAGCTTGATTGTCTCCTCAGTTCTCAGGGTTATCAAGAGCTCAGAGTGTATCCCGAGGGCAGGTAAATAAAGGCTGAGGTGCAATACTGTGCACCTGTGTTACAGTGTACTGCACCGCGCTGTGCAGAGGACCCTCAGAGAAGACGAGGACCCTGTGGTCTCATTGGCAGCTGTACTAGCAGGCAGATACATTTTTTAAGAATGAGTAATGTGATGGTTACTTTGCTGAGACACAATACCCAATGCCTACAAACTGAAGCAGGAAACTTATTCTGATTCACAGTTTGTAGAGTCTTCAGCCATAGTTCCCTAGCTCAGGGCAGGCGGTACATCAGAGGGGCCTGGCAGAGGAGTGGCTGCTCATGGCTGCAGGTGGAAAGCAGGGGTGGGGAAGGGAGAGGGACAAGGGAGATGGAGCCTACCAGGCCATGCCACGGTGACCACCTCCTCCCACCTGGTGCCACCTCCCAGCATTACACTTAGCTGTAAACTCGGCAGGGCCACTGCAGTGATGAGCATGGCACCCGTGATCCAGTCCCTTCCTGGAGCCCCACCTTTGAATACATGAGGCTTTGGGGGATGCGGAGATAAAAATCGTAAATATACAGTATGTAGCTTCGTGAGAGATGTAAATGAAAAGAAAAATAAGAAAGAACTTCAGGTCTTCCAGAAATGTTAGCATTGAGCCCAAGCTATTAAGAGTGGCGGACAGGTGTTTGCACCTGCTGTGTTCCTCCCTGTGTGGTACCGCCTGGATGAGGCTGGGTTGGGAGAGCGTGCGCAGTGCGGGCATCCTGTGTATGTCTGCTGTTCGCAGAAGTGTACGGGTTCTTAAGCCTTTTTGTCTCACAACCCCTTTGCACTTTCAAAAATTGTGGAAACTTTCCAAAGATCTTTTGTTTATGTTTTCATTTATAGCTCATAAGTACCAGATGGGAATTAAAACTGAGAAATTGTATTTTTCACTAAAAATGAGGCCAATTATGTGGTAAGATAAATAACATTTTGGTGAAAGAGAAGTGTACTTTCAAAAAAAGTTTTGCGGGTGTCATTTTACATCTGCAGCCCTCTTTGGTGTGTGAATTAGGAGAAGACCGCAGAGCTGCAGGCCGCACACAGCACACTGACGCCCATCCCAGAACTGGAAAGGAAGGGTTGCAGCCGTGCAAGGGCCCAAAGCTCCCGGCTCTGCAGGCCAGTCCAGGAGAATGCCGACTGGCCTGATGAGGATGAGCAGTGGATTTTGTTTTCTCACCACTTTCATCGAAAGCTTAGCATGTCCCTGTAAATAGGAAACTGATTGGTTGAGAATGCAGAGTTTAGAAGCTGTCACTGAGCATAGAGTCCCTTTAGCAAGCTTGTCCTGTGTATCTGAGTGGCAGGGTAGGGAGGACAGGAGACAGGGACAACAAGACTCAAATGCAAGCTCACACTTGTTCAAATGGGATATGAAGGAAATTGAAGCTTGAAGCCAGGCATGGTGGCAATACCTGTACTTCCGGCGCTCAGAAGCTGAGCCTGGAGGATTATCACTGTGAATTCAAGCCTACCTGGACTGTATCGTGTGTGAGTTCAAGGCCAGCCTGAACTACAGAGTGAGACTCTGTTTCGAAGAAAGAAAAAGAAAGAAAGAAAGAACTAACTTTGGAGATCCGCTGGTATCTTAAAGAAAGAGTAGAACCAGGCATGGTAGGTAACAAAAGTTTGTAATCTCAGCACTCTAGAGTCTAAGGTAGGAGGATACCCATCAGTTTGAAGTCAGCCTGGACTGCATGAGCAAGTTCAAGGCCAGGCGGCACTATGTAGGGAGACGCTGCCTCCAAATAAAACAAAATGAGACAGAGACAGAAACAGAGACAGAGACAGAGACAGAGACAGAGACAGAGACAGAGACAGAGAGAATAGATGTTTGTGGTACCAGGAAGTATTTCTGTCCTTTTTAATTAAAGAACAAACAGTATTGGGAAACCTTTACTAAGTAAGGAGGCACTGTGGATGTGAAGTATAGGGAGATGGCAGTGTCCCTGGCAGCCCCGGTCCCAGAGAGATGGAGGCTGGGAGGGCCACGTGAGCACCGTCTGTTGTAAATGACCAACGCCGAGGCCATACGTGTTTAACGCGGCGTGAGTAGATCACCTGCCTGTTTAGTCTTCCCAGGATCTGCAGAAGAGAATGGAGAAGTAAATGTTCAGTCCACGTGTGAACCTTCTGCTAATGGCATCCCACTTGGCTTCTGATCATTTCTCTTTGCTTTTTTCCAGAACACCCAGACCTTTCAAGCTAGCCAGAAGGTAAGGCACTTTGGGTCACTTTACCAGAGTAAGCTCACTGGCGTGTGTGTGCCCTTTTAGTGTCTCGCCTGCAGCTGCTGCTCTTTCCACCTTCCTCGTCCCTGTTTCTATAAAGGGAAAATAGTCCTGAGATAACTGCTGGAAGAATCGCTGATCTCCAGAAGTGCTCGTGGATCGCAGGGTAGGTGTTTAGCCTCCAAGCTCTGTTTGCGGCTCATCATCAGCTGTGTTGGTCTCTCCCTGTGTGAGGGCAGAGGTGCTGTTCTGCCAAGGAGACTCGCAGTCCCTCCTCTGGCCGCCCACGTGGTGCATCCCTGCTACGAGGGAGGTGTGGAAACGACCAGGCTTATCATTCTGGAGAGAAAACACTGAATGGATAACAGTTTCCTGAAAAAACAAAGAGCATTGTCTCATCAGGCACAGTTACACGACTGTGAGTCGGATCAGATGCGGTGACCTTACACTTCAGGAAGCCCAAGGGACCCTTGAAACTTAGTTGCCAAAGAAGCTCAGGTGTGCCGAGTGTGCCTCAAGAGCGTTACCTTTGCTGCATAAGTTTCTTCTTCCATTTAAACACTTCCTTCATGAAAAGTAATACTTTTCTTTTAATTGTGGTAAAATAAAATACACTCCATTAATAAATGCTTCTTCCATTTAAAATAATACTTATTGTTAAATTTTGGTAAAATACCACCTGCGAATTGCGTGTCAAGCGTTTCTAAGTGTGCGGCCCTGTGGCCTCACATGCCTTGGGGCTGTACAGTGGTCACTGGTAGGATGCTGGTTTGCCCAGAAGAGGGCCTCGCCTCAGGCGAAGCCGAAACTCTGAACCCATACAGTGACTGCCATTCCCACTCCCACAGCCCTGGTGACTGCAGTCCCACCGCGTTTCATAATTCTCGCCCTTCCTGCGCAGGAGTGGCAGTTTTATCCTTTTGTGACACTTTATTTTACTTAGCATAATGTCTTTAAGGTTTCCATTCGAATTTCCTTCTTCCACTGCACTGTATTACCACATTTTATTTATTAAGATTTTCCTCTTACTTTTGTCGAAAATGAAAAAGGAAAATACAAGTAAATATGTAGTATTAAGTAAAGGAATTTCAGTTCTTTAGACATAAGGGCTTTCTCAATAGACTAAATTTTTGCATTTTTAAGATTTTTAATTGTTTTCCCCTTTGTTTCTATGTTGGCATGTTTTTCAAAAAAGTCTGTTGATCCCCTTTTCCACCTTAGCCAGAAGTAATCTCTTAATCACAAAATATCTTGTCTTTGACTCTATGAGCACCTCTGTCTTGACTTGTTGTATAGATAGTTGTGTGACTCTTTGGGTTCCTTGTAGGCAGGGCCTGTGTCTGCCATTTTGTATTCCCATAATGCCTTGCATCCTTGTTACTTTACGCTAATTGCTGGATGAATAGATTACTTTAATGAATGAGAGTTCTGGACCCTATTCTTTGTGTGTGAAAGTTCTTGAACTTTAGTCATTCTTTCATTCTTGAGTTCATGATGCCACAGGAAACACTGTGATTAATAACATGTTGTAATGCCTACCCTTCAAGGACAGAATGGAATCAGGAGGAGTACTGAGAGAAACAGGATTAAATGAAGGCAAAGGGCTTTTAGGAAGGGAAGGATAACTAAAGGAGCTAAGTATTGTTCCAGTAGAAGGTGGAAGCCAAGACCACTTGTCTGCAGATGACTTGGGGAACAAAGGGCAGGCTACCAAGTTTAGGGTCAGGGTGCCAGGAGAATGGTCATCAATGCAGGTGCAGAGCGTACACAATCTGTGAGCTTGGCCCTCAAAGGGGAGGGGAGACGTGCTTTCAGAAATATGACAGAGAGTGAGACGAGAGTATATAAGCTAAGAAAGGGCTGTGGGGTGTTCCTGTGACAGAAACAGCCCATTTGTGACAGGCCCCTCTAATGTCATTTGACTGTGTGCTGGCCCTGTGAGACCCTGAGTTTGTTTGCTCAGGGATAGGAAATAGGTCAGAACCATTGTTTCTGACCTATTTCCAGAGAAACCCAGTGAGAAGGTGGCTGAGAATTGTGTGTGTCTGAGGGAACTCCCATAGCACCCACCCCACACAGCTGCCATGACCAGGCCAGCATGCAGATGGGGTTTCCCCAGCTCAGATTCATGCATTCATGAGCACAGGCCGTGGCATTCTTAGGAGCTGTTCACCTTGATGTTGTGGCCACTGTCTGCATCCCACAGTGACGTGAGCCTGTTCTCTCTGTAGCTCCCTGGCTGGGCTGATGGCTGCGTAGGCAGGGGAAGGGCAGCATGTGTGCCTAGGTGGGCTGTGTGAGTGGCTGCCTGGGGGCTGGCTCCCCCGCACCCTGCAGCACCTGCCGCAATGACACAGCCGTGCATGAGCAGCAGGCTTGCCCCCCTGGAGGCTAGCGCATGCAGGACAGGGTGCAGAACAGGGCTGCAAAATCAAACACATGTTCAAGGGGAAGAGGGGCAGTTATTGAAAGAGGGGTTCAGAGCTGCTGTGCACAAAACAAAAGCTCATGATAAGTGTAAATTAAACCAGACTATGAAAACTAAGCAATTGGGGACCCAGTGCTCTCTGTTGATAATAGGTTTGTGGTTAAAAATGAAACTGGTTCATTTGAATGATAGTGGGTGCATTTCAGCAACATGTAATGACTAATCTTATAAGCCTGAAGCCATTTCTATCTCCCAGGGCTGATATTTTAAAGGTCTAAGATGTAAAGGACTTGAAAGTCTGAAGCCATGGGCACAAAGTCTCAGACACACTATTGAAGCAGAGGCTTTTATGGCTTCCAAGCCTGCTGCTTTGCCTTACTTCCTGCTTGGTGGAAGGGGAGAAAACCATCAGTGAGTTCTGCAAGCTAAACAGCATAGGCAGCATCGGAGAGTCATGTTTTCAGCACGGTGGGTCACTCTGTTAGTGATTCTGACATGTCTGGAATAATTTCTCCTTAGTGAGGTTGTGTGTGTATGTGATACCAGGAATTGAACCCAGGTCTTTCCCACTGAGCTCCACCCCCAGCCCTGTTTATTTTGTATCTTGAGACCAGGTCTCAAATTGCTCAGTTGCTAGGCTGGGCAGATTTTGGGAATCCACTACCTCAGGCTCCCAGGCTGCAGGGATTACTGGCATGCTCCACCACAACCAGCTTGCCTACCCAAGTTTAAATCCAGAATTTGCAGTCAAGTGAACAGAGTTCAGCTCAGGGTTCTGTGGGTGTGATTTGCCTAGAAATGCACTGCTTGTGGGTCTAAGAGTCTCTAACTGTGAACTTGGGGGCGCAGGCATGTTTCGGGGTTCCTCGCTCCTGGAGGCTGTGGCTCCTAGACATCACAGCCGGACTGTAGCCTTCTTCTATCCCTCTCCCAGAAGTGGACACAGCACAGACCAGCTCAGGGTGGGTGGGGGCAGCAGCACTCTGGGGAGAGTAAGCTACATCGCCCGCATGGCCTGTGATATTGCAGGGCAGGAACAGCTGAGAAAAGAGTCTGGAGCCCCAGCGCAACTCTGTTCTATTTCATTCCCTCATTAGAAATTTAATAAGTAAGTATCCCACAAAGCAAGACCCACGGAGAGAAGAGAGTGTGAACAAACCAGCAGTCTGTTCTTAGAGACAGAGTGGCTTTTTCACACATCAAGAACCACCAGCTTTATAAGCAATTGCATGGTTTTGCAGAAATAATTGACAAATCTCTGACTAAGAAACCTACTTGAAATGAACCAGAAATGGACATCACAGCAGCCAGCAGGGCTGGCTTCACTGAGAATTTGAGAGGAGGTTCACTGGGGTTTCTTTTTGCAAATGGGAAGGGAATTAAGAGGTAGCATAGGAGGACTGTGTTCTCTGTGTGTGCCTCTCCCCGGAGGGGTGTGACCCTTAGGCTGCTAACATGTGCTAATAAAAGTAAAAGAAAAATAAAGATTCAAGGAGCCGACTGCATTTTGAGGCTTCGTCCGCTTCTGAGGGGCACTGTGCTCCTGTGAAGGCCTGGAAATGTGCAGATGAGGAGGCGTGGCCAGGGCGCAGTGGCACGGGACAGTGTGGGGTGCATCGGTCAGGAGGGACCCCAGCAGGCTTGGCAGTGGGTGAAGTTCCAGAGGTGAGATAGAGGCTGGACCAGACTGCAACACCCGGTGGACAGGTGGTCAGTACCCACGCATGTCACTTTGTCGGAAACATCTACTGAGTACTTCCTGCAAGGCCCTGTCACCGTGCTAACTCGAGTGGACCAGCATCCCTACCCTTGTGGGACTCAGTCTATTACTCAGACTTGTGTGGACATTCTGATTCTTAGTGGCCAGTGATGTATGATCACTGCTGCTTTATCACTAGAAATGAAAATGATCTTGTAATTTCCTTAACAGTTATGTGTGCTTGTGTGTATCCTCCATGTGTGTGTGCCTATGTGTGTGCTTGTGGTGTGCTCGTGTGCACGTGTGTGTGTGCCTGCGTGGGTGTGTGCAGAACTCCATCAGCTCATACACTGATGAGCACCTGTACGAGGTCTAGCTTGTGAGGAATGAAAAGTGGTGCTCATGGGCGGCACAAACCCTACACTGCCTGAGTGGCGTCCTGTGCTCTCTGCTTGCAGCTACGCGGCCCTGCTAGCCGACTGGCCGGTGGTAGTCCGGGCCTGTGCACGCTGCTCATCGTGGTCTGCGCCCTGGTGGGCGTGTTGGTGCCGGAGCTGCCAGACTTCTTGGATCTGCTGCTGGTAAGGAGACCCGGCCTGCAGAGCAGATGTGTTCTCTTTAGCTGCCACCGTGAGCAGAGTATTGTGATGCAGGTCACAGTCTCTTGTTTAGTATTCTGTTTCTTTTGAAATCGCCTCCATCCTTGGGTAAGTATGTGGCTCTTTTTGTAATATAAAGATGTGTGAATTTGTATTCTCAGCTTCTTAGGTGGTAAGGGGTATAAGAGTCTTTTATAAACAAATATTGCACTAACTAAAGAAAAAGGTCAAGGAACCCACTCACCCTCAAAACTCTGGGTGTTTTGCTTCTCTGTCCCCATGTTTAAGCTAAAAAGTACTATATACTATAGAACCCACATACCATATAAAAATAGTTCCATAAAGCTGTGAGACTGAATGTGTTTTCCTCCCAAAAGGAGCTGCAGGAATTTCACTGTTGCTAACAGTGGTCTGTTTTTAGGTAAATGTCCCCTGGGTTGGAAGTGTGAGAAAAAGTGGCCGAGAGTCGTGCTACCCTTTGTGAAACACTGTGACACTGCCTGTGTTTAGGAGATAAAAATAAGTGCCCCCTGAATGCAGGGCAGCAGCTAGGAAAGTGACCATCTGGTAAGTGTTCTTCCTGCTCCGAGACCTGCGCCTCACCTGTGTTGTCACAGTGAACAGGTGATCTTTATGTCACTGTGAGTGCGCTCAGTCTGGAATGCAGTGTGCTGATGGGAACGTGTGACATTCTGCCTAGGGTTTTGAACCAAGAGGGACAACAATAGGGAAGAGACTGTTCACTTGGAATAACATGGTCAAAAACACCAGATACAAAACAACACTGGCAAATTACCCTTTTAAATATGCTGACGAGCAAGCCAAAAGATAATGATGGTGTATTTTTATATAATTGATATAAATATTGCTTAATGAATTCTTCTTTAAATGCTGCATGAACACAAAAGGTAAATATAAAATATGCCACTGAAAGTCATTTCCCCCAAATTGCTTACCTTGGTGTTTTAAGGCTGTGCTGTAGGATGAAAGGGGGCATCTTTTCTTTTCTGAAGTGAGGAGGCAGATGTCGGCTGCTTACACTGACCCTCCCAGGTTGCTGTCAGTTGCTGAACAGCTGGAGGCTCAGTGGCTGTACTGCCCCACACTTGTCGCCCTGAGGTAGCCAGAACTTTATTGAAGTCACATTGTTGCTCTGTTTCAGCCATCATGATGATCGGTGGTCAGAGGAGCATTATGAAAGAGAAAAAAGAGAAGTGGACTGGAACTTCCACAAAGACAGCTTTTTCTGTGACGTTCCAAGTGAGTAGTGTCCCAGGAGGGCCCTGCAGCTGCCTCCTGAGCCAGGGAAGAGCAGGGTCACATCTGGCCTCAAGCAGACGCAGGGGCGTGGTAGCCTGCAGACTGATCGTTCCTCTAGGTTGGGCAACCACTGTCTGAATTTACCTACAATAAAAATTTTAAAGGTTAGACTTAGCTTTAAGGAAAATATGAATCTAATGAAATTCTTGACCCTGCCCTAACTTTCAAGTCTTATTTCAAATTCTTTATCTTATTTATTTCTGGATCAAATAAAAGTATGTTTTGTACATATTTTTGGGTTGAAACCTAAAAGAATCTCTGGCATTATTAACAAAAATTTTGTTCACTTGAAAACATGTAGTAAGGATCAACGAACCACATGCCTCCATCACTGAGCAAAAGAAGAGGAGAAAGGAGCAAGACCAAGGCCCGGGGCCGCGTGTGCGCCTCGGCGCCCGGCAGGGGCACAGTGGGCAGGGCAGGCAGGACCACCGCATGGTTACTGTGCAGCTGCTGGGCTGGGGAGAGGTGCCCAGCGGTGGCGGAAGAACAGACCACTGCTCAGCCGCAGTGAGGAGCTAACACGAGTGCGTGGTAACGTGAAAGCCTTTCTGGTTTCAGGGTTTGTGGTTGCTGCTGAAGAACTCTTTTATGTTTTCTTTCCTACTAGAACCCAGCAGGACCTCAATGGATCTTTCATCTTTCTCGATCTTGCCAAGTCTCAAGGTCTTTGTTTTGAGCCCTGTTTCACTATGCAGTAATAGAAAGCAGATTCAGCAGGATCTTACACGGACTCCAGAAAACAATCCAGCTTCCTTTTCTGCCTCTTAAAACATGGACAAATGGAACTGCGGGTAGCTGTAGTTGTGGCTGCTTTATTTGTCCCAGTGGTAGCCTGTTCTTGCTTTGCCACCATCTGTTGGTTGCTCTCTCAACCGGGAAGAAGCTTAGCAAGTTGGAGAAGTACAGCCTGGAGTGTGTCAGCAGTCAGCACCCACCCTCGCCCCAAGGTGACAGGTTCTTCTGTGACCCAGCCGGGGGTCAGTTCTCTGTGAAAGAGGCATTTGTTTCCAGCAGGCTGACTTGGCTCTCCAAATGGTCTGCCAAGGATGGTAGTGATTTGGTGAAGATGAGCTCAATAAAGAAAATGTCATGATCGTGAGTGTAACATTTCATGATAAAACTATGCTCATGCGTTTACCAGCTTATTTGATTAGCACAGTTTAGTAACATACAGTCACTTTGTTCCCCCTGCTGAATATTACCGTTTTTTTTTTTTTTTTCGTTTTTACCGGTACCAGGGATCGAACTCACGACTGCCTGCTTGCAAGGCAAGCGCTTATGCCACTGAGCTAAATCCCCAGCCCCAAATATTACCTTTTAATGACTGAAGCAGGAGCAGTCTTATTGAGCATCCATTTTCCATCATGTCCTCTGATTCTCATGACTGGGTGAAACGGTTGTTGCTGTTAGCATTTTACAGAGGAAGAAGCAGCTTGGAGAAGTTACAGTTGTGTTCAGTCACCAGATCCTGACAGTGTGGAGGAAATGACACAAGGCCTCTAAATGACCTGAGGGAATATTGTACCTCCCAACCTGCTAGACGTCAGACACACTGAGCTTGTGTCTTCGAAACTGAAGAATGAATTCTAAGCAACAGTGGAGGTTAAGAGTAGGAAATGTTTATCGAGGGGGAGAGACGCAGCCCCTGAGAGGCAGGAGGGACCCCGAGTGGGTTGGTGAGGGCCCCGATTCTCAGGGAAGGCTTTACATAGCACAACCAATGGGCACCAAGTGGGTACAGCTGTGATCAACCAGTAAGATTATAAGTGGAGCTACCTACGTAACACTGATCCAGTGGTGGAACAAGTCACAGAGCACGTAGCAGAGAAACAACAAAGACATTTTAGGAAGCAGTGAGTCTGGGCCGCTGTCACACACTGAAGTGACTGATGCCTATGTGGACTTTACCAGACCGAGTATCATCGCTTACCGCATGCCTGGTCTTTGTCCGGAGACCTGGCCTCCCACGGATATGCGTTGGCCACAATTGTGAGGAGTGTTATCTGTACGTTGACTCTCAAGAGCCCAGTCCTGTCTGACTGCCTAGAATGTTCCTACCTGACTGCTGATTGCAGTAACAGGGCCTGGCTCAGCCACATCAGGGCCCAGACACCACGCTCTTCCTGGTGCTTCCCATGCCCCACCACCAAGTGCAACAGCCTGGGCTCCGGGGCATTGCCTTCACGTTCTCTTGCTCCAGGGGTGTAGACACACTCAGAACACACAGTGTACCCGTGATGCTGGCCGGGCCAGCACTCTGTGCGGCCGGACTCCAGCTTCACTGCTTTCATGTTGATCACGTCCCGTCTTCCCTCTCGGCCAGGGAGCACATGCTGACCATCTGTTCTCAAGACACTATGCAGTGGTGGTGAACCCAGCCTCGAGGGTGGTGGCAGGCTGTTGGTATCACTGAAAGCTCTGGAAGGTTCGCCCTCACCGTCCTAGTGTGTCACTCTTCGGTTTTGTACAACATAGTGGGACGTGTTGGGGAATTTAAGAGGGAGGCATTTCAGTTCATCTCTTGTTGAAAATTGTTATGCATCTTTCTTCCTCCTTAACTTTGATCAGAGATGGAGTTGTGAGTGTGTACTGTGGCTCATGGGTGTTCCCGGCAGACAGAGGCTTCATGCTAAGGTGATGCATAGTGTTGCTTCTGTGCAAATTTTCTCCGGGAATTTATGAAAGGCAGAATTCCTACTGCTAATGAATTGTCATGTAATCTTACTGCAATTGTTCTTGAGGTCTGTGTCTTAAGAATCAATGACTGATAACTTTTTCTTTTCTTTTTGTTATCATAGGTGAACGATAATCCAGAGTTAGTGTTTACCTCAACAGGAGGGGAGACACTGTGGCATTTACCTGCAACTAAATCCATGTGCAGTGTAGATAACTCCAGGGTATGTAAAAACCTGAAATCTCTAGACAGATCGGGTGATGTGCTTGGCCATCCCCTCCCAGCTGGCCTGGTGTCTGCCCAGGTGAGAGCCCTGGGGAGCTGAGGCCAGCCCTCTCGGGACAAACACCAGCATAGTGCACCCTGCGTTCCCACCTCCCTTTTCTGTGTCTCCTAGCTCAAGCTGCATCAGGCCTGTTATTTCCCAGAGCAGACGGTGTCTGAGGCCCCGCCCTGGTCACACACTGACACACTTGATTATTCTCCAGCTAAGCAGGACACAGCAGTGACAGAGCAGCAGAGACATGTGGTGTTGAGGCGGCTCCAGGGGCTGCCCGGCCATCACGGAGGCCAGATGTTTCCCGTGGCTCCTGCTTGTGTGTGCCGCACTTGCAGTCAGGCTGCAGCGTACACTTGATCAGTGCTGCTCACACTCAACCTCAGTGGGCCCAGGGCTCCAGAGCAAGGAGGCTCGCTCTGTCCCTGCCACGGGAGCCTCGTTGGACTCCCCAGGGCCTTCTCCTCACTTCCTTTGCCCTTGACACCTCTGCGATGCTGGCAAGCAGTCATGAGGAGCCAGAAGTGGGGTTCTGTAATCTCAGCTCCACCAGGAACCATTTTCCTGTGCCCTCCTTGTCCTGGTAGAAGCTGGATCTCTGAGGAAAGGATTTGCGTTCGGGGTCTGAGACCCTGGCTGACCAAGGTGACTTGCTTGGATGGTCAGCTCAGAGGCGTCCAGAAGTGTGCTTTTGGACTCCTGTTCTAAGGGTGCCATGGAGCCTGGCTCCTGTCTTCTTCCTGGTCTCCCCTTAAACGTCTGCTACGCAGGGAGCTTCGTGCTCTGGGAAGACTGCCAGCAGCAGCCGAACCTGGCATTAAGGGCTGAAGCTTTTTCTCCCTTAACTGTTTTCTCAGCTTCTTAGACTCTAACTTAGCCTATACTTTTAAAAGTTAGTGTATCGGGCTGGGGATTTAGCTCAGCAGCATAAGCGCCTGCCTTGCAAGCGCGTGGTCATAAATTTAATCCCCAGTACTGATTTAAAAAAAAAAAAAAACCTACCTCTAAAAGTTAAGGTATCACTTAAAACCTTGCTGGTTTTTCCCTGTTCTCTCCTCTCTTTCTTTAGCCCACTATTTCAGGGCCACTTCACCCTTACTGCTGTCTGACTAGGGAAGGGAACAAAGGCACATTGTGATCCCACACACACTAAAGGATGGCCTGAAACATCCCAGTATACAACACTAGTGCCAGAAGGACTAGATTCTCAAGAGGTGGCAAGAAATTACCTTCATAGTCTCCATTTTATAAATTTCAAAGGTTTTAAAGATTTTAGTGAGTCTTTTCCAGAAATATGAAGAATGTGTAACTGCCTTCTATGTGAGAAGAAGCCGGCTTGCCTTTCTCTTTAAGTTCAAGTCACGACACAAGCATCTGTTTCTCCATCTCAGCTACACACAGCTAAGCGCCACTGTCCAATGTCTCTCCCTGTAATTTGTGCCAGACTGGAACTCACAGCAGTCTTGTCTCGGCCTCCCGAGTGCTGGGATCAGCACTGCACTTTCTGACCTGCGCCCCCCCTCTTTGGGGGCAGTAAGGGCTCACACAGTAGTACTGTGCTCGCTGCGTCCATCACAGTTACTTATTTTTATCAGATTTTCCTGTCATCCATGAGCAGCTTGAGGGCAAGGGTTGCTGTGTCTCCTGCGTCTTGTGGAGGTGGGTGGTAGATGTTTCTCTTTGAGTGATGCACGGAGGTGAGCATACAGCCTTCCTGTCAGAAAATGCAGACAATTCCTTGAGGCGTGTTCCTTCACACTGCACACGATGGGTCCCGCTCAGTGTAGTCAGAGGCACCTGTGGTGGCTTTTCTCTGTCCTTATGCTGTACCCTGGAGCAGTCCTTGAAAGCAGTCTCTGCAGAGCCCCAGTGGAGTCTAGCAATGGCTCCATTACTGTTGACAGCGGCTGGCAGAGGCAGCAGGTCGGTATTCAGAGTGCCCAGCTTGTTAGTCTGTGGTCAGATACACACATTTAAAACCCCTGCTGTATTGGGAAAGGTCCGTCCAGGATTGCACCTGTGCTTTCTGTTTAACCAGCAACCCTGTTCCTTTGTTTGTGGCACTTCATTACTGCCACAGCCACAGAGAGATGCCTGCCAACCAAGCAGCTGAGCTTCCCGCGGCTGCAATTCATTTACTTCTGTCTGGACTGTGTCAGGCCTCAGACCGGCAACACCTTCCCTTCCATCATTCACCGGGCTGGCCCAGGCGTGGCACATATGGCCATGGATATGACTGGGTATCTGCCTGCAAACCACAAAGTACCACGCCACCTTCCCCTGATCTGTCGGGGTTCAGTCCTCGCTCAGGTAAGCATTGTGTGTTCTTTACAAACTCAGATGTCAGTTACCCTGTTTTGTGAATTATTTCTGCTTTAAGAAATATGCTTAGAGGGCTGAGGATTTAGCTTAGTGGCATGAGTGCCTGCCTTTACAAGCACAGGGTCATGAGTTCAATTCCCAGTACCAACAAAAAAAAAAAAAAAAAGAAAGAAATATGCTTAGAAAGAAAGTCTGGGAAAGGACTTTGGGCTTATTTTTCTTTACTCTCATAGAGTATTTTTTTAAGAAAACAAACGAATGCCCCATCTGCATGAATAAACACCTCTGCAGCCTGTCCTGGCCCCACAGCCCCCTCTCCCACCCCTGAAGTGTTTGGCTGGAGGGTTTGGGAGCACAAGTGACTTGTGTTTAGACTGAGCTGGTTCGTGCCATCTTCTCCACTTTGAAGAGACAGCACAAATTTCTGGCTGTGCAGCCTGGCTCAGTCAGGGCTGACAGTGCCCAATCCTCCAGGGAGGGCCTGTGCCCTCTTTGCAGTTTGACCTTTCTTCCTGGCCCAGCCCCAGTCAGCAGGGATGAGGGATGAGGGATGAGGGATGGGGCCTGGCATCTTCCGCTGTGTTGCTAAGAGGAGGCTCTGGAGTGGGGAAGGCAGTCCTTGTCAGCTTGCGGGGGGAGTAGGGGGTGGCACCAATTCAGACTTCTAGTCATCCAGCAAGGACCAAAAATGACATTTTACTTTCCAGGCAAAAACAGCCCAGGATGGAAACCCTCTCCACTGAGGGTTTTCCCGTGGGGTATAATGCACACCGAGTCCCATTGCACATCTCCCGGTAACCAGGGGGCTCCAAGAGCCAGCCTAAAACTTTTCTAAGAATTTAGAGAAATAATTAAGCACCTACTTATTGTTAGTAATATTATTTAAAATCAGATAATGTTTTAATTTAGAAATCTTTCCATTTTATACCCAAATTTCAGGGGAAAAATTTAGTCTCAATCTTGGTGTGTACTGATATTGGTGCTTTGGATAGTACTGGGGTCAGTGTGTGTCTAGTATTGCGCTGTAGTCGCAGGGGTTTGTACCCAGCAAATGTATCGCTGTGAGTTTGGGTGCTGGCAGATCTGATATCAGGGCCTGCGGGGTGGGGTCTGTGGTGCTGTTTCCTCCAGAGGGGACCACCTGTGTGTCCTTGCATGATGAAAGGATAACAGGCCCCCTTTGGCTCCCTCAGAGGACATTCATCACGGCCCCAGGGGCTGGCCGCTCACTGACCTCACCTTGGGCTTAGGGTTTAACCTGGGTTTTAGAAACAGAAAAAAGCCCTCAGCCATTTCTGGGAGCAGCACCTTTGTCTCCCGCTGTGTTGGTAGAGATAATGTACCTGGGCCACTGAAAAGTTCATGCCGATAACAAAAGGGACTGGGACAGTTGCTTTCTTAATCCTGTACTACATAGGCTTCACTGCCTGTCGCAAGGGCTTGAAAAGGCTTCTGTGCCACGCAGGTGTTAATTTTATCCTCCAAACTTGCACTGGCTGCCCCTGCTTCACACTTGTGTCTCACTCCACACACTGGTTTGTAGTTCAGACTGGAGTAACTTAGAGCCCTCACTGGGAAATGGTTCAAGGACTCTCACCTGTGTGCAGACTGATACTGCGTATGAGATTGTCACTGTCCCTCGAAGCGGCGGATATCGTCCCAGCCAGGCAGCTTCTAACCATGTACTGCATATCTTCTCTGCAGATCAGGTCTCACCCCCAATTTGGTGACCTCTGCCAGAGAACCACTGCTGCCTCTTGCTGCCCCAGCTGGATGCTGGGGAACTACATTGCCATTCTGAACAACAGGTCGTCCTGTCAGAGTATCGTCGATCAAGATATGTCTCACACCCTGAAGCTGCTCTGCACCTGTGCCAAGCACTACCAGAACGGCACCGTAGGGCTGGACTACTGGGATGCCGCCACCTGCAGGAAGGACCAGCTCAAGTGCACCAGTGTGCCACGCAAGTGCACCAAGTACAACGCTGTGTACCAGATTCTCCACTACGTGGTGGACAAGGACTTCATGGCCCCAAAGGTGGCTGACCACTCCGCCCTGGCGCTCAGGTACAGCATGTTCTTCTCGCCTACGGAGAAGGGAAAGAGCATGATGAATGTTTACCTGGACAACTTCAAAAACTGGAACTCCTCATACGGCGTGATGACCGTCACTGGGATCGAGTTTGGCATCAAACACAGCTTGTTTCAGGACTACCTTCTGATGAATACTGTGTATCTGGCCATTGCCATGGGGCTTGTCCTGCTGGTCATGTGTGTCTACACCAAGTCCATGTTTATAACGCTGATGACCATGTTTGCCATCATCAGCTCCTTGATCGTCTCCTATTTTGTCTACTGTGTCATGTTCAATTTCTAGTTTTTCCCTTTCATGAATCTCACTGCACTTATCATTCTGGTCAGCATCGGGGCCAACGGTGAATTCGTGCTCTGTGATATGTGGGCCTACACCAAGTACGACAAGCCCCGTGCTGAGGCTGCGGAGACGGTGAGCGCTGCCCTCTTCATGTTTATCACCAGCTTCACCACTGCCACGGCCTTCTATGCCAACTACGTCAGCAAGATCACAGCCATCAGGTGCTTCGGCGTGTACGCGGGCACCGCCATCCTGGTGAGCTGCATTCTCATGGTCACCTGGCTCCAGGCTATGGTGGTACTGCACGAGCGCTACCTGCTCAACATCTTTAGCTGCTTCCGGAAGCCCCAGCAACCCAGTACGACGACAAGAGCTGCTGGGTGGTGGCCTGCCAGAAGTGCCACAGGACGACAAGAGCTGCTGGGCGGTGGCCTGCCGGATGTGCCACAGGCTGGTCCTGGCCATCCCCGAGGCCTCCCGGATTTTCTTTGAGAAAGAGCTGGCCTACAACGTCATGAAGTTCCCCTACCTGTGGCTCTTGTGGTTCCTCGCGCTGACGGTAGGTGGCGCCTAAATCATGTGTGTGAACCCCAAGATGAAGCTGCCCTCCCTGGAGCAGTCTGAGTTCCAGGCTTTCTGAGCCTCACACCCCTTTGAGCGCTAAGACGTCTAGTACAGGAAGCTGATCACGTTTGGGCGGGTGCGCCACGGTGAGGAGCTCCACATGCTCATCACCGTGGTCTGGGGCGTTTCCCCCGAGGACAATGCCAACCCACTAAACCCCAAGAGCAAGTGCAGACTGACGCTGGACAGCAGCTTTAACATTGCCAGCCCTGTGTCCCAGGCCTGGGTCCTGCACTTCTGCCAGAAGCTGAGGAACCACATCTTCTTCCACCAGACGGAGGAGCAGGACTTCACCAGCTGCTTTATCGAGACCTTCAGGCAGTGGATGGAGAACTAGGACTGCGACGAGCCGGCCCTGTACCCGTGCTGCAGTCACTGGAGCTTCCCTTACAAGCAAGAGGTCTTCAAGCTGTGCATCTTCAAGAGGTCTTCAAGAGGGCCATCATGGAGCTGGAGAGGAGCGTGGGCTACCACCTGGACGGCAGGATGCCAGGGCCACACTTTGACGTCAACGACACCATCGGGCTGTGGTGCTAGAGTTCCCGAGCACCCGCCTCTTCACGCTGGCCTATGAGAAGATGCACCAGTTCTACAGCGAGGTGGACTTATGGATCTCCCGGGAGCTGCGCTGTGCACCTGAGGGCCTCGGCAATGGCTGGTTTGTGAGCAACCTCGAGTTCTACGACCTCCAGGACAGCCTCTCAGATGGCACACTCATAGCCATGGGGCTGTCTGTGGCTGTAGCCTTCAGCGTGATGCTGCTGACCACGTGGAATGCCATCATCAGTCTGTACACCATCATCTCTATCGCAGGCACCATCTTTGTCACTGGGGGCTCCCTGGTCCTGCTGGGCTGGGAACTAAATGTCCTGGAGTCTGTCACCATCTCCATGGCCATGGGGCTGTCTGTAGACTTTGCCGTCCACTATTGGGTTGCATACCGCCTGGCTCCAGACCCTGACCAAGAGGGCATGGTGATCTCTCTGAGCCACATGGGCTCAGCCATCGCCATGGCCGCCTTGATCACCTTTGTGGCTGGGGCCATGATGATGCCATCCACTGTGCTGGCCTGCATGCAGCTGGGTACCTTCATGATGCTTGTCGTGTGCGTCAGCTGGGCCTTCACCACCTTCTTCTTCCAGTATATGTGCTGGTGCCTCGGGGCACAGGGCTCCTGTGGGAAGATCCTTCTGCCTCAGAAGCTCCAGTGCAGCGCCTTTTCCAACACCCTGTCCCCCAGGCCCGGTGACCAGGGCCCAAACAAAGCCCGCCCTGCATACCTTCTAGATCCCCAGGTCCAGAAATTGGAAGAGGAACATGACTTCTACGAGTTGGAACCACTGGTGTCCCACAGCTGTGTGGCCTCAGACAAGACCAGGGGAGAGGAGACCTACCTCTGTGCTGAGCTGCTGAGCAGCCCGGCGAGGGGGTTGGGGGTGCCCTGGCATGCAGCCTGCTCTGGGGAGCATGGCCTATGTTCAAGGGCTGACTCCAGTGTTGCCCTGTTTCCACCCTGCCCTGAGCCACATCCCACATTCCCCTTCTTCTCCCTCAACCAGCAGTGTCGCTGTCTGAACACCTACAAACTCCTCACTTGCAGCTCACACTCCTGCCAACTGCTCCTGCAGCCACTGTGCCCCTGCCGCAGGTGGCTTTGGCCAGATCCAGAATGGGGTGGTGCCCCTGCAGGCCACACAGCCGGCCCCTGAGGGCTTCGTGCACCACCGCCCACACCCGCAACCCCACCCCTGTCCTTGCCTGCAGCGCTGTGGAAAGCCACTGGGAACATAGAACTCCTCACCTAGGAACTATAGCCTCCACCAGGCACTGAGCTTGCAGGCCCCAAAGCACCCAGGCAAGACCAGCACGGGTGGCATATTGGGCTCCAACACCTGGGTGGCCAGGCAGTCACCACTGGCCTGCAGGGCTACTAGCTCTTCAAGGCCAGCACACTGGCATGCTGAGAGTAACCAAATGGGTCTCCACAGAGACAGGGAAGTGGGACTCAGGGAGGGCGGTTCTGGGAGCGGAAGCAGAGTCTCCAATCTGTAGCATCACAGTGACAGTGTGGAGAGAAGAGCAGTGCGGAGCTTGTCACAGGTTGGCATGGTCACAGGCTTGATGCATGTCCATCACAGTGAGCCAGAACTTCAGTTTAACCATCTCCTGGGGGAGGCAGGTCACGGCCCGGCCCTGGCTGTCTACAGAGCTGTGGCAGAGCTGTGAGAGAGAGGCTCAGCTCCGCGGACCGCCAGCCACCATGCCCTGCCGCTGCCATGCCTGCTGGTGTAACACATTCAGAACAGGCTGGGGAGAGCTTGTTAATAAAAACACTCTAGTAAACATGGTCTTCAGCTAGAGCAGCATGTGTTCTTCTAAGTGTGTGCAATCTCCAGGCACAGGGATGGGCGCCCTCCTACTGGCCCAGAGCAGGGCACTCCCTTTCCACTTGCTGTGAGCTGCCCGTTGCGTGAGTGGAGTGGACAGTCACTGAGTGTTTCTGTTTAAGAAAGTCTAGAAGTTTACGTTTTGACTCCACCTCTTTTTCTGCCCTCCTACAGCACAGAACCAGACTTAACATTGTAAGGCCCTGGAATTTCCACTTTCCATTTAAATTGTTTCATTGCTATCTTAGTATGGTTCAGTTGTGGTAACTGAGACGTGATTTCCCAGCGTATGTGCTAGGAATCACCCTCGTGTTACCAGGGCCCTTCATCTGGGATCCAGGAGCAAACTGCCTCCACATTAACACTCCCGGGGTTTCGTGGTTTGGGCCGAGGCAGGCAGTGCACAGATGAACTGGCACATACCTTTACAGTGCTCTCACCTATTTGCATGTGCAGACTCTGCCTGGAGCCAGAGGCGCACTTGGACCTAAATTGGGGTCCTTCCCACATTTCCCAATTGTGCGGTCCTAGCCCATCTGGTTTTTCGTAGGTCAGATGGCCACAAGGGTAGGCATTTTTTGGAACCCTGGAGAGATTTTTATATTCTAACACAGAAGGGACACTCATGTCCAGATACTCGGTACAGTGCAGGGCACGCGTCTCCAGTTATCTTGTGGCATTTCTGTTAACCGAGTAGGTAACACTCAGTTTTGTGCACTAATAAATGTAAATAAAATAAATGTTTGGGGAAAGATAAATAGTGACCATCCACGGTTGAGTACAGAGTCTTTGCTTTTTGTGTTAGCAATTCCATATCTCTATGTTTTGAAAAAAGAAAAATAAGATGTCTCTCTCCTTCCCTTCACTGTGCAAACCTGACAGCATACACCCAGGACCAACTCCCCAAGCAGTCCAGATGGCACAGTCTCCCTGAGTGCCCTTGCCTTGGCGAGAACAGAAAGCCAACGGTTCCATGCCAGCTGGGGTGCGCGGCCCTCTCTGGAGCTGCAGGGCTTGTGGGTGCAGTTCAGTTTGGGGGGAGGCACGGGGATAAGACATCCCACAGTTGCCATCTGGGAAGCTGCTCCTCCAAACCTGTGTGATCCTTGATTGGTGCCAGCCTTGAGAGTTGCGCTGTTTGTGGAGTAGGAAGCAAAGTACACAGCTCAGCTCTTGGAGAACAGTGCTTCTGGGCACCTGTGCTCTTTGGGGGACTTTAGCCAACATCTGTAGCCATCAACACATGCACCCTTCAGCAGCCCCGGAAAAGGAGATCCAGTTCTGGACTGGCTTTGTGACCATCACAATGAACAAGAGTTCAACTCTGTGTTCTCAAATCGACTGAGACAAACCTCAACATTCATGTTATTTTTTTTTTTTTTTTAGTACCGGGGATTGAACTTACCACCTCAAGCTCACCAGGCAGGAGCTTATGCCACTGCACTAAATCCCTGGTCTGAGATTTATCTTTATAATTTCCTATTTTTCTCATGTAACTTTCTGTAATATTTTACTTTGCAATTCAGTAAGGTTTAGAGGACAGGTTTTGAGGCAGAGTGGCAGTGTATGTCCCAGCCTACCTGCAATGCCGAGTGATCCCAGGGTCCTGTCCTCAGTGGACATTTCTGGTTAATAACCTGGACTTCAGCTAAAAAGGGAAAGAGAATTGCTAAATACAGGATCTCTTCTGCCCTTCATTTATGGGATGGAAGACCTCCTAAATAAACCAGTAATCTAACAAGACTGTGAAGAGCTGCTTTGCCAGCCTAAGGAAAGAAACCCCTTGCAGGCTGTGAGAACCAGGTTTCAGTGGGTCTGTGACACAGCATGGTCACTACTAGCACCACAGTCCAGGTGGGCCCCACGAGTGAGGGCACGAGCACCTGCCTGGGGTCCAACCAGGGCCTTGCCCAGCACACGCACCACTCTGGGCGCCAGTGCCCTGTGCTGAGCGCTCTGAGGAACAAGTGCGCCTCTTCCCGCACACTTCCAAGGCCTGGTCCTATTCCCTATGGTTTCCTAACTGTGTGTATCACTGATCACAGATCCAGATGGGAACAGATGCACATAAATACCCTGAACCGAAGCCAGATCCCTGCCCAGCCCACCTGGGGTTGCCTGGCCTTCCTGGCAGACACCCCAGTGCCACCATCACAGGGAGCAGAAGACGAGAGCCAGCACCCAGACAGACCAGCCGTGCCTGCAGTCGGAGTGCTTGGAAGACCAGGCCAGGCACATGTCCTGCCTGGGGACAACAGGGTAGCCGCTGCCAGCTACTGGGGTGGGTGGGGGGGAATCATCTGTCCTGTATCATGTGCTTGCAGCTCCTTGGCCTGGGAGGGTCAGGGCTCACACCAGTCTGTCACCCTGTGTCACAGGTGTCTGCTGTTTCACCTCCCTCACTGGACCCACTCCTGCAGGGGTCAGGGCGTGCTGGGGCAGCTCCCATGCTGGCGTCCTGACAGCAGGGCCCCTGCACAGGGCCCAGGGATGGGAGCCCCAGCCCCAGCACGGCCACGTCCACCCACCCCAGAGAAGTGGGTTTGCACAGTGAGTGGCTTTGAAGTGGGAGGTGAGGCAGGGCACCCCACCTGTAGTGCCAACACCTTGGGAAGCCAAAGCAAGAGCATCGCTTGAGCCTAGGAATTCAGGGCCAGACGAGGCAATAGTGAGAACCATCTCTGAAAATAAAAGTGGGAAATGGGAAAAACATTACAAAAACATTCACTTGTCTCAACCATTTTATCATCTGTGCTGTATGCAGCAGCAAGGCCTCTAAAAAGGAGGGCTTCAGGGTTTTAGAACCAGAGACCCACGTGGAAGAGTGTGGCCAGCGCTTCCCAGCCCCTCACACTGCTCATCGGAGCCCACGGCAGGAGCGAGGACTCTGTGAGGAGAGCAGGGAGCCACGCCCTCTCGGTCCAGGCAGGACACCCAGGAGCACATTTGACTCAAACAGTGCCCCGGAGCTGAGAGCAGCTCTGCCTGTTCTGACCACAGGAGGACGTCCCTGAGAAGAGCTGGGACCTGGAGCTGGAACCAGGGCAACTCTTGTTCCTGGTGCCAGGTGGCCACCCTAGGGGGCATACACACTCCTCCCTGTCTGTATGTCTTGTCTGTCTCTCTGCTCTGGGGTGGCCTTGCCCCGTTCAGATGGCCACAGCTTTTCCGAGCTATTCCATGCGAGTGGCCTTGGCCCGGTGACCCCATCCCCAGCTCCAGCAGCTGACCAGTGGCTCTGAGAGGCCCTGTCCTGCACAAGAGAGGGCTGAGGCCAGGCCAACCTGGGCAGGCTCTGTCAAGGCAGCCTCAGAGAACAGAGCCACACAGGACACAGCTGGGTCCTCTGGGTGGAGCTGGGAGTTCACTATAGAGGGCTATAGTCACAGGAACTCCAGCCTAATGGCCCTCAGGCCTGTGGTCTCTCATGCTTCCCTGGGCACCAGCCAGCCTGTGCTCACCTCAGAAAAGGGCCTCATCCTCCAACCCACTGCCAACACGGCCACTCCAATGGAGAAGACCACAGCCTGCATACCAGGTCTGTCACAGGCACGAGGGCCTCCACATGGAACGAGAACTGTGAGAAGAGTGTGGAGCACCTTCTCTCCTCAAAACTGTCTGTGATCTCTCTGCTGTTAGTCCCTGGGACACCTGGCTACCAGCTGGGTTTGTCCCAGACTGCAGCTGAGGGACAGGTGGGGCCTTGAGCAGCTGCTCTTGCCTGTTGTGCTGAGAATGCATTAGAGCCCTGAGAACCCCAAGACAGGAAGGCAGCTGGCAGAAAGGGTACCAGTGCCCCTACCTTTCTGCCTGCCCCGCAGCTTGGGACACTGCCTCCTGGCAGGAGGGAGGTGTGATGGGCTGTAACTGATGCTATGAGGCTCAAAGCCTCCACACCTCAGCTAGGGAGGGCAGGGGGTTGTCTGGAGCCCTTTCCAGCCTTCAGATACCTGGTCCCACTGCACGGGGTTCCAAGGAGCAGCCCCTGGCTGGGAATCGCGCTGGGTGAGTTCAGAGGCAGAGGAAACTGTGGAGAGCAAAACTGCTCTCCAAAGTGTGGAGAGCAGTCCCCTCTGGGTGGGGGAAGGGACCACACAGACCAAACAGCTGCTCAGGGTTCCCAGTCCCAAACCACAGAACCAGCCATGGGGGAGATGAGAAAAAACTGAGAGACTTGTGCCCTGGGGAAGCCAGCAAACCATGGGGCAAACCCGAAACCAAAATGGGGAGCTTCACAAGCAGCACTGACCTCCTCACAGCGCCCAGGTCCAGATCCAGGTGTCGGCAACCCCCACAAGGGCCCCCTGTGCCCCAGCCCTAGCTGCCCTTGGTGGTGGGCAGATCCCTAGCTTCCATCACCATGCAGGACACTCCCCACCCTGCCGCCTGACCCCAAAGCCTGCC